CTTCAGTTTGGGTAATTTTTTTTCCTTCTCTCTCTCTTAATTTTTTTTTTTTTTTTGTACCGGGATCGAACTCAGGACCTTGTGCTTGTAAGGCAGATGGCGGCTCTGGATAATTTACTTTTACCTGCCTTTAAACTCACCAATCTCTGTATCATTCTTTTTTTTTTCCCTGAAACAGTCTCGATATATAGTGTAGGCTGGCCTTGAACTCGTGGCAATCATCCTGCCTCGGTCTCCTGAGTGCTGGGACTGTAGGTTTGCACTACCATGCCTGGTCTGGCAGTAATTCTAAGAAGAGGACTTGGAAACAGGACTGAAATTGTAAAGCACCTTTAAGGTAAAGAGAAATGACCACTGCTTAACAACTGGTATTCAAAGCAAGATCCAAACGTATAGTTAGCCACTTGGGTGTGCAGCTTGCTTGTATGTAACGATGCCAAGTTTGTGCATACATTATTCTTTACTGCATTATAGTTATTTCCAAATCTTTTCTCCTTCCTTAATCCCAGTTAAAGGGTCCCATTTAGGAGTTGTAGAAGTACTTTAGTCCATTTGTAACGTCCTAATTGTCCTAATTATCATAATATCCTAAATCCTCCCATATATTTTTTTCATGCTTGTCAGAGCAAGTTTTGTGTATATATGTTATATTATAATCAGTAAGAAGTATATTGTATTTAATTTAGAATATTTAGCTTTCCATTGATCTTTCAAAGTTCTTTCCAGATACTAACAATGCTCACTCAGAACTGTGTAGAAGTTTACAGGTAGTAACATATTTTCTCAGAAACTCTTCAAGGCATTGGTGATTCTAATTTAAAAATAAAATAATTTTAATCACCATTGGAATCTAAGTGACAGTGGGTTTTCAGGAGCTAAAAATCAGATCTCAAGTTTTGATTGGTTTTTGGAGAAAAACTATTTTTCTTGCCTTGTATTAATCTAGGTGATAATTGATATATATTGAATAGTTTGTTGGTCTCCTCTCTCTCTCTCTCTCTCTCTCTCTCTCTCTCTCTCTCTCTCTCTCTCGACTAACATGTGCCTCAATATAGGATCTTCCTGTGTAGTTCAGACTGGTCTCAAAATCATGGCAACCTTCCTGCCTCAGCCTCCTGAGTGCTGGGATTACAGGCATGTGCCCCATGCTCAGTTTACTTCTCTTGTTAAAATAGTGTGGTCAGGTGTAGTGGTGCACATCTGTAATCCCAGCACTCAGGAGGAGGAGACAGAGTGTAGGTGCAGTGGGCCAGTCATACCAGCTCTCAAAAAAGGTACTCCGGGTTGTGACATTTGTTGATTTTTATGGTATAAATACCGCACCAAGGCCAATTTTGAGGTACCAGCAAAATGTCATGTGTAGAATTGGAAAAGAGACATGAGAAATCAGCTCTCAGAAAATGGAATGAGGCCACTCGAAGATTGTATGACTGGGTGCTACGGTTTAGATAGATGTCCCCTTCCCGAAGCCTGTGTGCTGAAGGCTTGGGCCCTAGCCAGAGGCACTATCCGGAGAGGCCCTGGAGCTTCAGCTGAGTGGAGGGAAGCTGCATCATTTGGGGTGTGCTCTTGACAGGGATGTTGAGACCCCAGGTCTTCCCCTTGCTTCCCAGCTCTTAGGAGGTGAGCAGTTTCCTCTGCCCTGGACTCACCACGATGTATTTCCTACCTCACCACAGGCCCCCAAAGCAGTAGAGCCAACCAACCATGGACTGAAGCTGTGAGTCAAAATAAACCTTTCCTCCTTATAAGTTGTTTATGTCAGGCTTTTGTCCCAGTGACAGAAAGCTGACACACGGAATAGAGGTGAGATCATTAGACATTTTTTTAAGATGAGCCCCGCTATGTTGCCCAGACTGGCCTTGAACTCACGACCCTTTTGCCTCAGCCTCCCAAGTAGCTGGACTTACAGGCGTTGCCACTGTAGCCACCACTGGGATTTAATAAGCATGTGAACCACAAAGCTGTATTCTTGGAAGGACTGTATAGAATTCCTGAGTTGATAGGAGACTATGAACTGCGTCCCCAGATCTTTGTTAAGTGAGAGAAAGGCAGAGAGTGCTGAGTACGTAGGAGTCCTGAGGAAGTGAGGGTTTTAGAGAAGCCTGTTGGGAAGAATATTGTCAAGGGAGTTGTGGGTGTACACCTCACGTATCTCCAAGAATAACAGCTTGTTTATGCAAACTGTAGAAAAAAAGAGCATATATTCTATTTATATCCAGGGTTCCATTTATAAATAATTGCTTAGTAGTCAAAGGTAGTTTGAAAGTAACTAAGACAGCAGTCAGTCCATGTTGAATTCTCAGTGATAACTCCTGCTTCAGCCTCTTGAGTGGTGGGCTTACAGATGTGCTCCCTATGCCCAGCACAAAAAGCATATTTGAGCAAAGTTAAATTGGCACTGGACTGGATCATCTTGGAGGTTCACAGGAGAATAATTCAGGGCTGTCCCCTAAAGTTGCTCTCAAACTATTAATACAGGTAGACAACATGAGCAAAATTCACTCTCCTGAGCTAAAAATATTTGTAGACAAGAAGCTATCATGGAAATTAAATGGTGGCAGACATACCCAAGGAGTATTGCAGGGATTCCATCCCTTTACAGTGGATCAGTGTTCAGAGATGGCGACTAGTAGGCACATGACTAATATTGGAATGGTAATACAAAGAAATAGTATCATGTTGGAATCCTGGGGACAAGTTTAAATAATGGCTGTGGAGCAGAGAAATCTGTCACTGGACAGGGTTCACTGAGGTACCCAAAGCAGAGATTGTGAACCTTGACACACCCAGGACAGGTAGCAGGTTCACTGACTTTCCTCACAAAGAAATTTTCAACTGGGGATTTAGCTCAGTGGTTCTGCCGCTTGCCTTGCAAGTGCAAGGTCCTGAGTTCAAAAACCAGTTGCCCCTGGTACCAAAAAAGAAAGTGTAAGACTTAAGTCTCACTTTTACTCCTGGAGCGTGAACAGCCAAGAGGCCTTCACGATGCTGGGCTCAGAAGCTCAGCGAGGCTCCAGGAGCTTGTCACATAGTGAGAGTCACCCAGGAAGGAACATACCAGGCAAGTTGGCAAATAGATCTTTATTAGTCTGGCCAGACGGCATTTCCCAAGCCAAGTAGTTCAGAGAGGCGGCTAGCTCAGAAATAGAGGCCACTTTATATAGGGCTGAAAGGGGGGGATTTATATATAAAACTTACGGGAAGAGGATAAAGGTGAAGAAGTGGTCGTTCTGACCTATTGGTTATCAGGCACATATTTGACTGTCAGGTATTAATGATTAGTAGATTGTTCATCCACTGTTCTGTTTATAACTTAGATTATAATGTTTAGAACATTCAGATTATAGGCATGCAAGGAGTGGCGCAATCCATGTTGGGTCTCTGTGTATCAGTTTTTACCATATATAGTTATCTAACAATTCATAATTAATCACTAATTATCTTATAAGGGATGCGGGGAACAACAGTCTAGGTCGTTTGTTGGTCAATATGGAGTCGCTCTGGTTCAGCCAGGCTCCCACAAAAGAAAGAAAAAAAGCTACAAAACATTTTTTCAGGATGCATCAATAAAAGGCGTAAAGGGCCTTAGGCAGAATTTTAAAAGTATACATTCAAAGAAATAGGGCGATAGCCCTCAAAAGGGAGAAAGGAGACTTGTGGCCTGGAGCTGGGTATATTTATTTGGATTTGAGGGTGTCCCTAAGATGGATTATCTAGGATGTGTATTCTAGTATCTGTTAGGTTTGCCCACTGGTGGGCTATATTAAATGCAAACCAACAGAGCCAGGTGTGGTGGTGCACACCTGTAATCCCAGCACTTGGGAGGCTGAGGAAGGTGGATCGCTGCAAGTTCAAGGCCAGCCTGGGCTACATAGCGAGTTTAAGGCCAGCCTGAACACAGTGAGGCCCTGTCTCAAAATGAAAACAAAAAAAAATTTGTATGTGTTTGAAGCTGAGATGCCCTGTTCTTTTAAGAGTTGCCTTCCTGAGGATGGGGTTGGTAGGTGGGGCCAATTTATAGGTGAAAGACACAGTCTCGGGACCTGGTTTATAGGCTTTGAAAAGAATTTTAAATTTTATCAGTGCAGGTTTACAATGTATGACATTTATGTTCATCTTAAGGAGTAGCTACAGGCACATAATATGTCTTGATTGTTTTCATTGAGTTTATTGGTACATTTTAGGTACACAGTACAGTTACATTCATTGTTAGAATCTTGTACCTCTACATGACAGGTCTGGGTTCTCATTCTTTCCCCCTGTCCCTGCCCTCCCTTCACCCCCTCCTCCCCTCCCAATTTACAAACACTTTATTTCCATTTTTCATTTTCTCATCATATATTGATTTTTAAAAATCTGCTTTCCCATCCTCACCCACCTCCCTCCATCTCTAGAGTCCCTTTCCCCATTATTATTATTTTTTAGTTCATATTTATTATAATGTTTGTATCCATTGTGGAAATCTATTCCAGATATTTGTCCTCTATCTGAGGAATAGCTGGCAAAAAAATTTTTTTCCTGTTCTGTAGGTTGGTTCTTCATTCTGCTGATTGTTTCCTCTGCTATGTGGAAGCTTCTTAACTTGATATGATTCCATCTGTTGATTTTTGGTATTACGGTATTTCCTGCACACAGTTAATTACAACTGTTCTGTTCAGACAGTCCTTGCCCATGTCTATGACTTCACAAGTTTTACCTATTTTATCTTCCAGCAGGTTAAGTGTGTTTGTTTTGTTTTTTGTTGTTGTTGTTGTTGTTTTGAGACAGGGTCTCACTATGTAGTTGAGACTGACCTGGAACTCACTGTGTAGCCCAGGCTGATCTCGAACTCACAGCGATCCTCCCGCCTCAGCCTCCTGAGTGCTGGGATTACAGGCGTGCACCACCACGCCCGGCCAAGCATGTTTGGTTTAACATTTAGTTCTTTGATCTGTTTTGGTTTTAGTTTAGTACATGGTAAGAAATAGGCTCTAGATTCAGTGTTTTGCATGTGGATAGTCAATTTTCCAGCACCATTTTTTTTTTTTTTTTTTTGGTACCAGGGATTGAATTTAGGACCTTGTACAGCACCATATTTATTAAGAGGCTATCTTTTGTCCAGTGAATGTTTTGGACCCCTTTTTCAAAGATCACATAGGGTTGTTTCTGCACTCTCTGTTCTGTTCCAGTGATCCTCATGCCCATTGTCCATGTCTTGACTGAATTCTTTCATCAAAGGTACAAAGATCTAAGGACCACAGGAAGCAAGGGTCTGGTTTCTTGCTATGTCAGGACCCAGCTCCTAGTGACAATACAAGTATTTCATTGTATACAGGTGTGCTGGGTCTTTATTGCAAGGAACAGTTGGGAGATGGAATAAAAGAAACAATAGATATTCCAGACTTATCTCATCCCTTCCTGGACCCAGACCTCTCCTCCCTTTCCCGTGGAAGTGAGAGTAGACACTGACTTCCTTGTGCCAGTATCTCTGTATTCTGTCCATTTGTGTGGGGTAAGGAGAAGTAGGGGTGGCGGTTTAATGCTCTAGACCTGAGGAAGTTTGGAGAAACTACTTGTCTGTAAAGAAAAAAACTCCAACTTTTAAAGTTCCATTTTGCTGTGCTAGTTCCAGGATTATCTGAAGTTCTTCAGCTTCTCCTTGGGATCCTCTGCAAACCCTGTGATTGAGGCAGGAGATTAGGGCATGGCAAACAAGCTGGGGAATTAGGTGTGACCTATTAATTACAAAGCTCCGGGACATATGTGCAGATCAGTCCCAGAGCCACACTGGAATCTTCAGTTCTTCTCAGGAGACCTGGAGCAGGTTTTTGATAGGATGACTTAGACCCAAGGAGTAGGAGTCAGAAAAAGACAAGTCACCATCAAACCACTGCCACTGTAACTTGTAGTGGTGTACCTTGTTGTTTGAAGGGTGTATCTCTTTTCTTACCTGTATTGTTTATTTATTTATTGGATTTTTGACACAGAGTCTTGCTGTGTAATTTAGACTGGGCTTGAACTCACTGTATAGGCCAGGATGGCCTCAAACTCCTAATAATCCTCCTGCTTCACTTTCCCAAGTACTGGGATTACAGATGTGCACCAGTGGGTCTGGCTTTTTCTTACCTTTAGTTAGCTTGAATTCACTTTGTAAAACTTGTTTCTTTTCTCTTCCTACCTTAAAAGCTATAAAACCTTGACATCTTTTCCATTTGTCTTTTCAAGTAAATTTTATTTTACACCTCCCCAATTTACTCCACTTGTCTTGACACATTCTTTGTTCGTGTTATGGCTTGTATCTAGGTTTCCCCCCAAGCCTCATGTGATCATAGATGGGGTTTTTCAGAAGTGGATCTAGGGTGTGTGATACTGGAATTAATGATGTCATGCTGGGATTGATTCATGGTGCCATGTTACAATTAAGGGTGCTCCACCCTGGATGTGCTAAGGGCAGGTAGCCTGGACAGAATATAAGGGACAGAAAGAGGGCTGCTGTTGCCACTTGCTGCATGCCACTTCACTGCTTTGCTGCCTTCTGCCTTCCATGAACTATTTCTCCTCTGCAGTGCCCCTCTGCCATTCCATTCTGCCTTGGAGCCAGCCAACTATGAACTGAAACCTTTACAAACTGTGAGGTAAATAAACTTCTTTAACTTTGTGTTTCAGGTAGTGTTTCAGCAACAAGAAAAGTAACTTAAGATAGTTCAGAACAGAAAGAACCTACAAATTACCTCTAGAAGGAGACTCTAGCACCCTCAAACCTGGTAACATGGTGACATTTTAAAGATATCTTTAGCAGTAGCTCCTAAAACAAAATATGTCTGCCCTATGTCTCAGCAATTCAACTGCATCCACCATGGAGTGTAATGAAGATAGCTATCAATTATTAGGTTTCAATGTGTTATTAAAATCTGCTACATTGTAATCTCTGTTTATAGAGATGTATAAATTTTATGCCTCACTTTCTTAAATTTTAAGACTTTCTTACTGTGTATAAACTAAAATGTCTTACATTTTCTTTTTGTTAATGTTGAGGATCAAACCCAGGGCTTCACACATGTTAGGAAAACTCTCTAACACTTAGCTATCTCCCTAGCTCAAATCTTTTTTTTTTTTTTTTTTTTTTTTATGCCGGGGGTGGAACTAGGGTCCTTGTGCTTGCGAGGCAGGCAGAGGAGCCACTGAGCTAAATCCCTGACAAATCTATTTCTTTTTTTAAATCAAAATTTATTATTTATTTATTTTTTATTTTTTTGGTGGGGGGTTTGAGACAGGGTCTCACTATGTAGCTGAGACTGACCTGGAACTCACTGTGTAGCCCTGGCTGGTCTTGAACTCACAGCGATCCTCCTGCCTCAGCCTCCTGGGTGTTGGGATTACAGGCATGCGCCACCACACCTGACTTTTAAATCAAATTTTAAATGTCAAGTCTTATTAATCTTCCTTTAGCACCTATTCGCTAATTAACATTTTTAAAAATTTTTAGTAAAGGTCTTACTGTGTAGTTTAGGCTGGCCTTGAACTCACTCTGTAATCCAGATTGCTCTCGAACTTGTGGCGATTCTCCTGCCTCAGCCTCCCACGTGCTGGGGTTACAGGCATGTGCCACCATGCCTAGCTTTATTGTCACTCTAAACCAACTAATACTATCAGGAGTTTTTTTTTTTCTTTGCTTTTCTTTCCCTATCAAGAGTGGAAGGTCTTCAGCTGGAAATTCAGATGCTCACTTAGCAAATGCAGCAGCTGCATCATCTTTGTGAAGAAGTCTTGTGAATCATTCTAAGCGAAAGAAAAATGTATGAAACCAAAAAGGTCTTTGAAATAACTGGAAGGAAAAATAGTTTTCAATAATTTTTTACAAGGAAATCATATTTAGATGGAAAAAAAGATTTTCCTGAATC